CTACGCCACCTCCACCACCGCCCCCTCCGCCACCCCCACCACCGCCCCCTCCGCCACCCCCACCACTGCCACCACCTCCTCCCTTCTTACCCCCCTTCTTGCCCCCTTTGTTGCCAAGGGCAACGGCTGCCACCTCTGGTACAGTGGCAACAGACGCCGAATCGACAGGGGAAGCTAGGAAGGACGGAGCACATCCCTCAAAGATGGGGGGGAGGGCAGTACCGGAGGCAGCAGCAAGGGAACGGGCAAGGTCCTCAACAGCAGTGAGCCTCTTCTCAAAGAGGTCAATGGTGAGGGACATGGGGTTAACAGTGAGAAAGTGGTCATGGGCTGTAGCAAAACGGTCAGGGAGGCGGGTGGACAGCAGGTACAGTGTCATCCATATCGGGGGGGGGTTGGCGGCAAGTAGGGCATCATCAGGGGCAGCAGAACGGAGCTGGGCATCAAGCGAGCGCAAGTGCAGCACAAGGTCAGGGACGCGGTGAAACGAGGGCAGGTCAGGAAATAGGAAGGGCAGTACAAGCCGACCGAGGGAAGCAGTGGTTGGGGTGGAATAACGTTTGACGACAGCATCAAACAGGCCCTTGGCCGTCACCTCCTGCTCGAAGTGCTGCTGCTCTGTCAGGGGCAGGAGATCGGTGATGGCGAGCACTGTGGCGTCGTCCCGCGCCGCCCACCGACTGGCCGCCAGCTGCAGCTTCTCAAAGCGAGCTTCCTCTTCGTCTGACGGGGAGGAACCTAAGGGGTCGGGTTCCTTCGGGGCTACGAGTTTGCCCGTGGCATGGTCCAGAAGGCGAACGTCGTTCTCGATCCTACTCCCTAGGAAAAGCTTGAGTTTGCGGAGCCATCCTGGGAAGTCTACCGGCCTACCCTCAGGATCAAACGTGAGAATACGAGAAGTGGCCATGGGAGGAGGCCCTGGCGCGAGGGCAATGAACGGGCACGCTCGGGTGGGGTCTAGTACGTTTGAGAGCGGTACCAGGTGGTTCAGTGAGGTGGATAGCGGCTGGTTACTGGTGTGGTGACGGGAACGGGTGGGGCAGCAGCTCTGGCTGGTACAGGTGGGGCAGTGGGTGCAGTTCTGTGCGGTGCTGCGTGGTTCTGTGCAGTTCTGCCCTGTTCAGTGCGGTGCTGCACGGTTCTGTGCGAGGGAGAGTACCGGGTGGGGTAGCAGCTCTGGCTAGTGTGGGTGGGTCAGCAGGTAAGGTTCTGGGCGGTGTCGCACGGTTCTGTGCGTTTCTACGCGGTGCTGTACGGTTCTGGGCGGGGGAGAGTAACTGGTGGGGCGGCTGGGACGGGTGGTACAGCGGGCACCAGGTGGGTCAGCGGGGACGGGTGAGACGGTAACGCAGCTGGCGGGCTGTGCGTGCGTGCGGCTATTGCTGCGCGTGCGTGCAGCTATGGCCGCGCGTGCATGCTGCTAATGCCGCGCGTGCGTGCTCCTAATGCCGCGCGTGCGTACGGCTAATGCTGCACGTGCGTGCGGCTAATGCTGCGCGTGCGCACGGTCGCATGTGCGGCTACGACTGCACGTGCGCATGGGCCTGCTGCGCGCTAGCGGGCTGGCGAGCTACGCACGGGGCAGAAAACGGGTGAGGCGCGGGTGAAAAAAAACGGGTGACGCTCTGGGCTAAACGGATGACGCGCTCAGGGCACTACGGGTGACGCGCGAGCTAAGGGGGGGGTAGCAGGGCGCTTCGGGTATTAAGTGGCTACGTTCCTAGGTCGGGGCACGGGGCGGTGGGCCCATAGGGTCGACTAGCTCTATACCATGTCGAGACTAGAACGGGTGAAAAGATTGACTAAGGGAAACGAGATACAAGAGGATATAGCTAACCCTAGGAATATGAAATGGTACACCTAGACTAACAAAAACTAAACATATAAAATATATGTTGACAGTGCTGTCCTGTGCTCGCCAAAGTGAGCACATTCGGTTGCGGGCAGGTGGTTGCGAATGGCCAAGCGGGCAGTAGCCTCACGAGACAGCCACTGGGAACGATTCGAAACGTCAGCTGTGGCGGGAGGGGCTGGAGCGGCACCGGACACGTGGTCAAACAGTGAGACACTGTCCCGACTATCGCTCAAAAGGTACAGTTGCAGATCGTCGTGCCATGTGTCAAATGCTACAGGTCTGCCTTCCGGGTCGAACGGGAGAGCTCGAAGCGACGCCATAGGTACGGGCCAGGCGCGGGCAGGAGACTGGGCCGGGCGCAGGCTAGGTACGGGCCTATCGTGGGCGCGGTACGGACGGGGCGCGGGGCTAGGAACAAAGCAGCAGGTGGTGGGCCCAATAGTAACCTAGTAACTCTAATACCATGTTAGAATCAGTGACGAGGATGAATGACTTGGAAAGGGGGGGGTACAAGTACAAATGTCGAGAGAAAATGTGTACCCCCTAAGGCTAAACCCACTATAGCCTAGACAACTGTAAACACATAAACACATATGTTTGACAGACAAGTGAGGAGGAGGAGGCTGGACTGATAGGAGAGGAGATAGGAGGCGACGGCTGAAGCTGCAGACACACGGGCAACAGGAGCGGCGCACACAGTGGCTACCGGAGCAAAGGCCCCGGACTACAGGAGTAACTGGCTCTGCGGCTAACTCTGAGCGGCAGGAGCAACGGACCCACGGGCGACAGGCACAGCAGGCTCTCTGAGCTACCAGCAGAAAAGGCCCCGGACTACAGGTGTTGCGGGCGACAAGACGGCTGCCTCCGCCCAACATCCCCAAACTGTCCCACCCCCCTTTCACACACCCCCTGCTGCACCCCTAGTTTCACTCCCACGACACACTAGTACCACTCCTTCGTCTCCCACACACCCACCCCCCTCAGCGGCAGCTGCAGCAGTGGGAGACGGAGGAGGAGGAGGAGCAGGGGATTCCGCACACACCAGTCACCCCCATACGCGCCACCCCAAAGCCCGAACACAGGCAGCACGTGGCAGGAGCGGGACACAGGGGCGGCAGGAGGGGCTGCAGGGGCTGCAGCACGGGTAGCGCGCGAGCCCCCCTAGGGTGCCTCGACGGGCGGCAGAAGGGGGGGGGGCGCGCGCTGGCCCCCGAGGGCGCCACGACGGGCGGCAGGAGGGGGGCGCACGCTGGCCCCCGAGGGCGCCACGACGGGCGTCAGGGGTGGGGGTCGCGCGGGCCCCCGAGGGCGCCACGACGGACGGCAGGAGGGGGCCGCGCGCTGGCCCCCGAGGGCGCCACGACGGGCGGCAGGAGGGGGCCGCGCGCTGGCCCCCGAGGGCGCCACGACGGGCGTCAGGGGTGGGGGTCGCGCGGGCCCCCGAGGGCGCCACGACGGGCGGTAGGAGGGGGCCGCGCACTGGCCCCCGAGGGCGCCACGACGGGCGGCAGGAGGGGGCCGCGTGCCGGCCCCCGAGGGCGCCACGACGGGCGACGGGAGGGGCCGCGCGCAGGCCCCCGAGGGCGCCACGTCGGGCGACGGAAGGGGGGGGGGGGGCGCGGGCCCCCGATGGCGCCTCGACGGGCGACGGGAGGGCCGCGCACGAGCCCTCGGAGCGCCGCGACTGGCGACGAAACCGCCGCACGCCCCGGGGCGCGCGACGGGCAGGGCACCGTCGTGCGCCACGGGGCGCACGACGGGCAGAACAGGGCGCCGCGCTGCCCCCAGGGCGGCGCGACGGGCAGAAAACCGCCGCGCGCTAAAAATGCCGCGCGCCATGGGCGCACGGCAGGCAGACAAACGACGTGCGCCCGAGGGGCGCTGTAGGCAGGACAGCAGCGGAAGTTTAACGGTAGGCCCATGCACAAGATCGACCCGGGAGGGTCGACCTGCTCAGATTCCATGTTAGAATACTGATCGAATGAATTGAAACAGAGAAGAGGAGTTTCACTAGCAGGCAGTTGGGTACATATAGGAAACCCTAGATTGGGCTGTACTCACTATTGAGTACCCCACTGCAGGCTAGACAAATATAACATTCTGACACGGCAAGCGGGCAGAGCGCAGGGCAGGGCAGCACGCAGCAAGCAGGGCAGCGCACGATGGCAGCAGCTCTTGGGGCAGTACGTACGGTTGGTGGGCCCCAGAGTGGTCCTACGGAGGGACCTGCTCTGAAACCATGTTAAGAGAACTGTGCAAGAATGGTGAATGACTAGCAACAAGGAGATACAAGTAGTAAACCCTAACTGGGGTTGTACTCTATATTGAGCACCTCACTATAGCCTAGCAGAACTAAGAACATATAAATATGTCTTGACAGGCGCGTTGGCCTGGCAGGGGCTGGGCGCACACGTAGCAGGGGCGGGGTGCGCTCTGGGCAGGGTTGGGCGCACGCTACTGGCTGCTAGGTGGCGTGCTTCTCTAGTAAGGGGGGGGGGGGGAGGGGAGCGACTACGGAGTGACGACGGAGGGGAGCGAGCTAGGCAAGGCACCGGAGCACGGGCGGGCTAAGTTAGGTTAGGAGCGTACCTACTCGTGATACCATCTCAAGAGTGAATGGTTGCAATGGAATGGTTGCATTAGGGTTGGGAAGCAGTACAAATAAGAACCCTAGCAATATGTTGTAATTGCTACAATGCTACTCACTGTAGTCAAACAAGAGATTATAAAATTTGACACTTGATGATGCAAGCAATAAGGCCCATCAATCACTCTGCTGCACATCAATACGCTGAGTTCACGTACAACTCATGAACCAGCACTATGCGGGGATCAGTAATGCAGCCCCCAATACAAAGTATAGTACAGTAGTACTCTTCAAACAGCATTACCGACACGGTAATGGGGAATAATAATAGTAAACTCTTCAATACATAGTTTAATAGTAACTATGCAAGGCGGGGGCTGGGCTCCACTCCACCTGTCCCTGCAATCTTAGTAGTTATGTAGTGACCAGATAGCCCTGGGGCCAGCACAGCCACTTGTACCGTAGTATCGGCATAAAGGAGCATCTGTCCTGTGCTCTCTCTACGTTTCTGACTCTGCCATACCATCTCCACCATCTACCTACCGTATGTAGACCAGCTCAGGGCAACGGGGTCTCACCACCACTTCTAAGCGGGGGGGTCCACAGTGCGCAGCACCACAGATGCCATAGAGCTGCCGAGCGCCGCGCAGCCACCTGCATTACACTAGCGATTCTACCTTTTCTAGCCGCTATGTGGGGTAGGGAGTGGAGTGGGTTCCACCATCCCTGCACTACACAATAAGCGGGGTCCACATTGCGCAGCACCACAGAAGTCATGGAGCTGCCCAGCGCAGCCACTTGTATCGACGCCGGCACGTCCGTGTACCTCTGGGTGGCCACCAGCGTGTTGTTCTCCGTGGCTGACGTGCGATAGGTCTCCAAGACACAATCCTGACCCACATCAAACGGTACAAAGTCCTCGATTTGAAATGTCGACGTGTGCGTGGTGTCGCGCTGGTTGACGATGAAGATCGACACAAAGTGCTGATCGGGATGGAAGAACGCCGCAATGCAGTGTTGGCACCCGTCCGACGTGTCGATTCGCAGAGGCAGGCTCCCTCTCGGCGCCCCGCACACAAACTGCTGCATCATGTAGAGCTTCTTGGAGATCACCAGATCCAACGGCTTAACTTCTGTGTCGTTCAGCCGGTAGATCCTGACCGCAATCAGCCCCCATTTGAGGAACGCGCCGGGGTTAGTAGCCACCCCATTGACGGCCTACCAGAAAATCCAGGTCGAGGCCCCCATGATGTTGACAGCCTGCACTATCTGCCGAGCCGTCAACAGCATCACGCCGACACCATTCCCGGTCACCCATATCGGCCCCACCTCCGACACCCACACCTCCTTGCCCAGCCCGGTCGCCATGTGGTGCATGCTCACCATCACGCCTTCCATGTGCTGCCGCATATCCGCTATGCACATTCAGACAAAAAAACTCGGCCTTCACCGCAGCAGGGAACTTGTACGTGTACCGAAGCGTCGCGCCGACAAAACTGTCAAACCCGCGACTTTTGTCGGGAGCTTGCGCTTTTTAAGGGTGGCCATAAGGAGCTGAATGAGAGTGGTCAGTTTCTCAGGCCCGTAGTTGTACCCCTCATTCGTGTGGCCCTGCGTCCACCACCCCTCCAGTGCCTCATTCCCCGGATTCGTGGTCGAGAAAGTCACTTTCCAATGCGTGCGGTAACGCTCGATCACCGAAGCTTGGTACTCAGTGTACGCCTAGAAATACTCGGGCTTTAAGTTACACTTGCCCATTTCAGTCTCGGCCGTGTCCCCGCTGACGGTCATCCACCAGGGCGGCGAGTACGACACCGCCTCAACCTCGTCCACATTCTGCGTCAGGGCGGCGAGCATTGTCCGCCTCTGCCGCCCGTCTGACGTCCAGTCGTACGGCCCGTTTGGCTGGACGCTGAAGCCGGGGATATAGTGGGTTTCCCAGGCAGCAGTGAGGAACTGGGAGTTGTTGGTGTAGTTGACGCTCCCGCCTATGAGGTAGCGGGCCAAATTGAGTCCGATGCCCTTGTCCTTGTCGAAGAGTAAATCCATGATGAGATCAAACTGCTCGTCTGGCAGCTTGCCCACATAGTTGGCGAACCTGGGAGGGGCTGTCAGAAGAATGAACGAGAATGGATGAACTAGCAAAGAGTTGTACCCCTTATAGGCTACCCCACTATAGCCTACACAATGTAAGCACTATACAAGTTTGACAGGGGCAATGGGCAAGGGGCAAGGGGCATCAAGCAAGGGGCAAGGGGTAAGGGGTATTAATGCATGGGAGGTGGGAGAGTGTGCACACGAGACATGGGACATGGGACACGAGACATCGGACATGGGACATGAGACATGAGACATGAGACATGGGACATGGGACATGAGACATGAGACATGGAACCATGCCAGCTAAGCAGGTAACCATGCCAGCTAGGCGACTCACCATGCGAGCTAGACGACTCAACATGCCAGCTAGGCGACTCACCATGCCAGCTCAGCAACTCACCATACCAGGTCAGAAACTCACCATGCCATATCAGCAACTCACCATGCCAGATCAGCAACTCACCATGCCAGATCAGCAACTCACCATGCCAGCCCAGCAATGTTGAAATAGTAGGTGTACCGAGGCTTAGGAGAAACCGTAGCCAAGGTAAATGTCGAGAGAAAAGTGGAGAAGGAATGAATGGGATTAGGGCAAGGAGGGGGATTAGGTCCGGTATGCTGCGCATCAGCTCAACCTCTGGCCCCGTGTCTCCTTGCCGGAGACCTCGCCCATAGTGCGTTGGACGGGGAAGGTTGGCGATGCGTCGGTGTTCCGAGTCTGGGGTTCTCGTTCCTTTGTTCGCAATACGTCCACGGACAAGCTCTCCGCCCGCGCCATTCCCTGCGTCTTCCTTGGCTTTGTCCCTGACGCGCCTGGCTGGCAGTTTTACCACCCCACCTCGCGCCGTGTCCTCCCGTCTCAGGACGTCACGTTTGACGAGTCGGTTCCCTTCTACCGTCTCTTCCCCTACCGCTCTGCCCCTCCCCCCCCCCCCCCCCCCCCCCCCCCCCCCCGCCGCTCTTCCTTGCTCCCGGTCCACCTCCGGTAGACCCCCTCCCGCCCCAGGGTCCTGCTCCCTTGGGTGTGTCTTAGGTAGACCCTCTCCCTGGTACTGCGCCTGTTCAGGTAGCTTTCGGCTCAGGTGCTGCTCCAAGTGCTGCGTCTAGGGGTGCAGAGCCGGGGGGTGCGGGGTCTGAGGGTGCTGGGTCTGGGGGTGCTGAGCCTGGGGGTGCTGAGCCTGAGGGTGTTGAGCCTGGGGGTGCTGAGTCGGAGGGTGCGGAGTCTGGGGGTGCTGCGCCTCGGGGTGCTGCTTCGTCTGGAGGTCCTGCTGGTGCTTCGCCGCGACTATCTTCGCAGCAGCTGCGTGAGTGGCTTGTTCGGCGTGCACACTGTCGGAGTGGAGCTCCCGGAGCTGGAGTCGCTGGAGACCCTAGAGCTGGAGGTAATGTTGTTACTGCTGGAGCTGGCGGTACTGGAGGTGCTGCGGCTACTGGTACTGGAGGTGCTCATACTCGTGGTGCTGGAGCTGCCGGGACTGGTGGTGTTGGGTGCTTGAGCTGGAGACCCTACGGAGCCTGGAGCAGCTGGCGCTGGAGGCGCTGGAGCTGGAGGAGCTGGATTTGGAGGCCCTGGCGCAGGAGTCGCTGGAGCTGCAAGAGCTGGAGCTGGAGGCACTGGCGCCGGAGGCGCTGGAGCTGCAGGAGCTGGAGCTGTTGACCCTGGTGCTGGAGGTGCTGGAGGCACTGTGTGGCCGCGATCGCACTTCGTTCCCCTGCTTCAACAGGTTCTTGGTGTCCCGTCTTCTACTGGCCTTACTCCTCCCTTCCTGTGTCCACCGCCTGACCAGTAGCAGCCGCCGTTACAGCCAGCCTCCCCACTGCCTGCTCCCTCTCCTTACACTGAACAGTCCGGTGGTCTTACAGAGCGTCGTGAGCCTGCGTCTCGTCCTATCTCGCCTGTTCGCACTGCTCGTCGCGCTCCTCGTTCGCGTCCTCCTCCTGTCCCCGGCACGCATGCAATGGCACTCCGTCCCTCCTCTGTTCCACTGCGTGTTCCTCTGCCTGCTCCTCCTGAGTCCTCTCTTCCTGAGGTCCCTTACCCTGCGTCTGACCGCGCTCGTGCTGCCAGTCCCACTATCTCTCGTCTCCTCGCCACTGCTGTCACTGTTCTTTTTTTTGAGTCTGCTGCTGTGTATGCTCTCGTTGCTGAGCTGCTTGACTTTGCTGATGCCTGCCGTTTAGACTACGACACTGCTCTAGTTGCTGAGTCTGCGTCTGCCAGTCCTCCGTCCATCGGGGGTGAGTGTGCTCCTTGCACGGACGTCCTTGAGGACAGGCAGGAGGACTTTGAGTGTCTTGCAGCTGCTCTACCTCGTTTCGCTTCCATGCTGCTTGCCCCTGAGGGAGATCCGGATGCACCAGACATCCCGACCCCGCGCTCTTACGCAGAGGCGATTACGAGTCCTTACTCCTCTCAGTGGCAGGCAGCCATGGATGCCGAGATGGCATCCTGGAAGTCCACAGGCACCTACGTTGATGAAGTTCCCCCGTCTCGGGCGAACATAGTCGATGGCATGTGGATTTTCAGGGTGAAGCGGCCGCCGGGTTCTCTGCCTGCCTTCAAGGCGCGTTACATTGCTCGAGGCTTTAGTCAGCGACAGGGAGTTGACTACTTCCAGACCTTCTCCCCCACCCCGAAGATGACTGCACGAGGAGATCTGCAGCCTGCAAGAGGAGATCTGGCTGCGCCGACCACCTGGTTTCACTGGGACGTTTCCTGCACGTACCCAGTGGAGCCTCCGCCGGCCAGTGTACGGTCTTCGCCAGGCGCCTCGCGAGTGGCACGACACACTGAGGACTACACTTGCGGCTCTTGGGTTTGCTCCTTCTACTGCTGACCCGTCGCTGTTTCTATGCACTGACACCTCGCTGCCGCTGTTCTACGTCCTCGTGTACGTCGACGACCTCATCTTTGCCACTGCTGACACTGAGGCACTGACCCTTGTGAAGTCGGGCTGCAGAAGAAACACACCTGCACTGACCTGGGTGAACTGTGCAGCTATCTTGGCCTGCAGATCACCCGGGACAGAGCACGGCGCACCATCACACTGACTCAGTCACACATGGTGCACCAGGTCCTTCAGCGCTTCGGCTTCTAGTTCTCCTCGCCACAGCCCACTCCTCTGTCTACCAGCCACTCGCTCTCGGCTCCACCTTCGGACGAGTCCGTAGAGTCGAGTGGTCCGTACCCAGAGCTTGTGGGTTGCCTCATGTACCTGATGATGTGCACACGACCTGACCTCGCGTACCCTCTCAGCCTTCTGGCTCGCTACGTGGCTCCCGGTAGGCACCGAAAGGTGCACTGGGATGTTGCGAAGAGGGTACTGCGTTACCTGTGCAGTACGTCGGGCATGGGGCTCGTGCTTGGAGGACGGGGCCCAGTTGTCCTCACTGGACACGCAGACGCTTCTTGGGTTGACGACTTGGCTACGCAGCGGTTGTCACAGGGTTACACCTTTAGTCTTGGTTCAGGCTCTGTTTCTTGGCGGTCTACCCGCTCGTCTTCGGTTCTCAGCTCCAGATGTGAGGCTGAGGTCTACACCAGGGCCATGGCTGCACAGGAGCTACACTAGCTCACCTACCTGCTGACTGGCTTGGGAGAGCAGCCTCGTTCGCCTCCAGTTCTGTATGTAGACAACAAGGCAATTATTGCCTTGTGTCAGGAGCACAGACTGGAGCACAGAACGAAGCACATCGCTCTGCGATACTTCCTTGCTCGAGAGTTGCAGCAGCGTGGCCAGCTTCGTCATGCGTACGTGGCCACTAGGGCCAACACTGCTGATGTATTCACCAATGCACTTCCGCCTTGTTATCATCAGCGCTTCTCTACTGTGTTAGGCCTTGTGCCTACTTTGCCTCGCTTGACTCTGCTTGTACTGTGATCTCTATATATACCTGCATGCTTGCACTTGCTAGGATATGATCACTGTATTGTTTGTTCTCTTTATATCACACTGCATGTGAACTGGCCTTGTGGCCCTTTGCTTGTGCTCGGACTGTGTGGTGACTTTGTGATCCACCCTGAGCTTGCTTTGCTTTTCTTGTACTGCACAAGTAGCGCAACACCCTCTTAGCGGCCTCCCAGTGCTCTAGTCGGTGTCTCTCGGGCGCAACGTAACGTGCCAGGATACTAAGAGGGTAGGCAAGGTCAGGTCGAGTGCAGGTCATCAGGTACATGAGGCAGCCCACAAGCTCTGGAGACGGGTCACTCGGCTCTACGGACTCGTCCGAAGGTGGAGCTGAGAGCGAGTGACCGGTAGGTAGAGGAGTGGACTGTGGCGAGGAGTACTGGAAGCCGAAGCGCTGAAGGACCTGGTGCACAATGT